AAACTGGTGATTGCTACTAATGAGATGCAGTTACAAAAAAAAGATCGTGAAGGATGCGTTGAATCCAAAGGCACAAAGAGCCATAGTGTCCCATGCTGATAGATATGATTCAGAAAAAAAATGTTTGAATAGTTTTGGGTTTATTGAGACATGTTCTTGCAATTGATGAAGATATATCAATGCATAATGTTTCTTCTACTTGAACAAGTTTCATGCATCTGTCATTATTATTACTTTATACCTTATCAAGATAAGGTATTGGAGATTAATTTGGCCAGACCAAACTGGTCCAAAGGTCCAAAAAGATTTTGATCTTGTTCAATTTTTCATTTAGTGTAAAAATATAGTGGTCCAAATCACCAAGTGCAATTCGAAACAGTTTTTATTGGTTGATATGAAATTGTATATCAAGAACAAATAGATAAAAAAAAAAAGAAATCAAAATATCAAAAGTTGTACAAGGAAGATGACTTTTAAAACAAAAGAAAAACTCCAAATGTATATATATATTATTCGGCTTTTTTGTACAATTGGTTGTGATCGTGTAAAATGTCTCAAATATGTAAAGTCATTTTTCTTTAGAGAATTTCAAAATACATCCTAGCTATCTCAAATATTTTCTGGTCCGACGTTCAAAATACCTTAGAAATATGAAAATACATGTAGTTCAATGCATGCACTACACAATATTGTATGGGATTTTAAATACCCTAAAACATAATCTCATTTTTAAAACGGAAGACATAGACACGAAGGAATGCTCAATATATTGTATTTACTATTTAGTTATTTCATCGTAAAATATCTCAGAAAAGTCTTGAAATAATTTGTTTTCATTGTCCAATATCAAATCACCGGAAGTTTATATACTTTGAATTGGTCGATACACTTCTTGAATTTTGTAAATGGCAATGGGTCGTAACAAATTCAAAGAATGGGATCAAAGAAATGAATTATTAAAATGATTCATGATTGATAAAAAAAGACAACAAAATTAATAAATAAAGCGAACGTGGGATTGGGATAACATTGAGGAGGAGACAATGATAGAGAACAGTGAGTGGCTACAGATTCTGCTTCGACCATTCCAGGAGACATCATCTTTTATTAGTGTTTTTTTAAATATT